GGCTGCGGTGGCCGGGAGCGGACACTGCACTCCAGCCTGGGCGACAGAGTGAGACTCCAAATCAAAAATAAATAAATAAATAAAATAAATAAAGCATAACATTGTTATAATGATTGGAAAAATTCCATTTACTGTATAGAAGGATTACACTTTTATGAAGAAATAAATCATATTTTATATAGAAAGCATGTATAAAGTTGAGTAATTCACTTCCAAATTCCTAGTTGCAAAGGTAACTACAGCATCATACTTATATTCTCACAGATACACTCTGCCAAAGTTCTTTTTAAAATAACTTCTGAGTGGAAACCACAGAAAAACACAAAACTAAATTCAAAGAGAATATCATATATTTTCTCCGGATTCTAAAAAATTAATTTCAAGACAACACATCAGCCATCTTCTCAGACAGAAATGACCTAAAATATTCATTCGATAGATTATTTGGTATGTGAAAAAATGTAGATGCAAAAGATATGTATAGGTTATCATAAATGGATGGATAGCCAACCATCTATAAGTACAGAAGTGGAGACAGATGAAAGAAAAAGAAATTGAGGATGGGGAAGTTAAAGGAAAGAAGAAAGAATGTAAGATAGATAAAAGAGGAGCAGACAACATACATATGATTGATCCTGACTATATCTGGCTCATGCAATATTTTTCATTTTTTATCCTTGCCTTTTTGTTCTAATATCTTCACATTCTATTTACATCATTCTTTTATATTTATGTTTCAATGCAACAATAATTTTTAACAACCAAAAAGAAAGACCAATTATGGAAAAGAAGAAAACCTGCTAAGATTAGTATTTTAACATATAAATTACTATGAACTAAAACAATTAATATTACTTGCTTATTTCCATAATAACTTTCTTAGAAAAGGGCTGAAGAACACAACTGGTTTTCTCATTAATTTGAAAAAATAAAATTAAAAGTTTTGACTATTTGCCTTGTTATAACCAGATGTGTAATAAAATTAGATTGTTTAGACTATAATTAACCATCAACATCATGTAAAAATTATTAGTGTGCACAATATTTTTAATTAATTGCACACATACATGCTATCTTAATAATTTTCAGTATTCTAATTGTTTAAATATGTTTTCATGAAATAGAGGATTGGAAATACTTTCTTCATTACAAGGTGGTTTTATCATGAGTCTGGGCAGTTTTAGCCTGAAAATTAAAATATTAAAGTTATTATGTAATAATAGCCTCTCAATGACTAAGCTGTTTTGTTTTGGGTTGAGGGGGTTGTTTTTTGAAATAAGGCTTACTTTGCCACCAAATCTAAAGAGCAGTGATTTAATAAAAGCTCACTGCAGCCTCAAACTCCTGAGTTCAAAGGATTCTCTCATCTCAACCTCCTGAGCAGCTGTGATTACAAGCATGTGCCACCATGCCCAGAAATACATATGTATATATATATTTATATATATGTGTATATATATATATATATATATATATAGAGAGAGAGAGAGAGAGAGAGTATGTAGAGATGGGGTCTGACTATGCTGCACAGTCTAGTCTCAAACTCCCGGTCTCAAGTGATTCTCCTGCCTCAGACTCTCCCAAACCACTGAGAAATTATAAAACCTTCCAATAAAAACATTCATTTCTGAAAAGTTTTCAGTGAAGAAAATTTCAAGAATTGCAAAATAAACTTTGAATGGCAACTAAGTTGATAATATTAGGAATTTTTAATCTCTGAGAATTTTCTTATCATATTTTAACTTCTTGAAACCATAAATTAAATAAAAAATAAGTTGTTTCCCAGCCTGGAATCAACACTGGTCACAGATATGTTAAACTGTAATTCCTATACAATATAACCATGATGATGGCAAATCAGCAGTAAATCAAATTAGTTTATATATGTACAAACTAATTCTGAAAATTTCTTGGTTGTCTCAATCTGAAATTCTACTGACTACTGAAAAAACACTTCACATTTTGTTGTGGAGTGATACTCAGAGAAGAAAATAATATTTATTATTTAGTCATTGAAAACCCTTTCCTACTCTTCCTTTTTTCCAATCACGGCTAGTTTGAGATCTCTCCATCCAGCACACACTCATCCCTCCCTCTTAATAACATGTATTTCTAACTTATTTTCACCCCGTGTCACATGTATCATACTTATGTAGATAGCTTAAGTTTTAGGAAAAACTTCAAAAAAACTTACCCCATTTTTTGGAAATGCAATCCATCCCAGGTCCCCCATGACAGTGCGTGAATCCAATAGATTTACTGAAAAAAAAAAATTCAAAACTGAATAAAATATATAATATTGTATCCCTACCTCTTGATAGAGTTATTAAAATTATGTGTTGTTTATATAACTGAAATTTGTTTAAGCTTTTATTATGATGAACACAATAGGCATAATTTAAAGAAAACATTATTGCAATGCAAGACAAGTGACTTTAAATAAACATTTGGAAAACAATTACAGCAAAAATATCTATAAGCAAGTCATTACCCTAAATGTGTGGTTTTTAGATAAAAATGTAAAACAAAAATAAAAACAAACTACTAAGAAAAAAAAGAACAGACTCACAAAAACGAAAGGCTGACACTCTATTTTAAAAGGCTCTAGGTTTTGGAATTAAGCTGCAGTCATGAAATTGTAGCTAAATGTATTTTATTTTCTTGTGGAAGGCTGTTATAAAGCAATTAGCAAATAATTTACATTAAACAGCAATAAACTATTCCCAAGCTTGTAACATTTTTTGTGATATTAACAGAAATTTGTAATCCAAATTGCAAGTTTAATTAAGAAATAAATCTACACACCCTTAACCAAGACAAGGAAATTGTAGCAATACTTGGAGTCGCTGCTATACATATGAATCCAGTGCATTCCCAAAGATATCTTCTGCTTAGATATGACCACAATCTAAAATGTGTTTCATGTACAACCATCAGATACATTATACCTGGAAATCTTAAGATATTTGGAACCCCTAGGATGGAAGCTTGATTATCATGGTTACAAAAGAAACCATGGATAAATAAATATTTACACACACACGCAGGCACACACAAACACACATAGTGTTTATATACTGTTCCTGGGAAATCTAACTAGCTTATAGGCTCTTGCCCAGTCAAAACACTTGCGACCTGGACCATAGATAATTACCTTTTTAACCTAATATGCCTATCCCAAACGGGTCTACTTGGCCCACTGTGCAACTGAACCACTTTGAATGACCCTGATGTACAGACCCAAAAAGAGAGAAAATTTAGTTATTCTTAGTCAAGGGTCTTGAAGCTTCCTTAACCTATATTCAAGAGCCATTATCTTGAAATGCCACCAATTCTAAGAGGATGATTCCATCTGTTGTAAGCCTAGAATATTAAAAAATAAAAGCAATTGATAAGCTGGAAATGTATTTTAATACTTTATAAGATAATATAAGATAAAATTATTATGACTAAGGAAATTAGGATAACTACTGAAATTGAAATTTTCAATTCAATGTTACAGAAATTATGTGCATTTAACCTTTAATAGCCATCATTTTATTTCACAATAGCACAAATTAATAAAACAAAAGTACACCTGTGAACATATATCTTATGAGCCAGGTTAAAAGTATATAATAACATTAGTTGCATTACAAATCAGCCATTTGAAATTTTTAGAAAAACTAATATGTTGAATATTGCATATATGTATACATTTTTGTTGTTGCTAAATATACTTTATTTCTGTCACTATTTTTTGAGCTCTTTACTATAAAAATGCATGCCCTATAGTTTTTGTATGATGTTTAACCTGGTAACATCATACTGGCTTTAAGAAATAAAGAAATAAAATATAGAATCTTTAATTTATTAGAAGAATGATGACCTAATTGAAAAACCGTTGTTTAAAACAACAAAAACAAACCCAAACTGTTCTACTACCCACTGACCTTGCAGATCCTGCTGGGTACTCCACTACCTCTAAGTTTTCAGTTAGATCCATACTCTTTTCTTTTTACTCTATTGTTGGCTTTTCTGGTTTCCATGGGAATAAGGCTACATTAAACTTAAATGTCCTTGTCCTCATTTCAGTTTTTTTCTGGGACACTAAGGCACTGTCTAGACATGACAAAATACCAGGGGAGTGCAGAACCTAAATTGTTATGTTTATTCATCTTAATGACTCATTTGATTCACCTTTGATTTTGAGCAGCTGCGTATCTGTGTAGATGAGATAAAGTAGGGCACATCGGCAAACTAAGGGTGTTACTATGATGGCAGTCAAATTGAACTTAATCCTGTAGTGGCAAACTGATGTGCATAGGAATTCTAAGAATTCATAACCAGCCTGCCATGAGAAACACAGCATTCCTTGTAGACTACTTAACAATATGTGGGTTTGAAATATTCCTTATTATCAACAGAATTTCAGATGCCTTTTCAAAATTCAGTTACCCTCACTTGAGTTAGCTTTAATCTGTATTACTATTTTGATCTCTCTCGCTTTTATTTTTGGCTGAAACATGTATGTGTGGAAGTAAGTGAATGACCTCAAAATACTAGATTTGCTGTTAATACAATTTATTGAGAGTTTTTAATATTGAAACATACTATAGACTACACAAGAATAACCACAACAGAAATCTATATAATCTTACTTATGGTCATCTTGTCAAAAGACTTTCTTCAAATAAATAGATTAGAAGGTTTACAGGAAACACATTATGTCACTTCCCACTACTTTCTACATATATACAATTGCTCTCCTTGAAACACACGATTTCAAAAAATTCAAAATGCAAAAATACATATACATATGAAATTACAGAATTGGAAATTTAGAAGAAAAGTAAAATTAGGTGTTTGGGGCAATTACTTGCAGATTACTATATTGTAATTTTGTTTATATAATACAGAATAAATTAGGATTTAATGCCTTTGAAAAAATAACTAAAATGTACATGTAAATTTTAAAAGATATGTCTTTCTTTTGGCCCTGAGCTTTGTACAGGTGTTTAGTTGTTCTATCTCAATTTTTTTTTTCCCTTTCTGACTTACCAACTCTTGTCCTTCAAAACATATTTCAAGAACTACCTTCTTTAGGAAGCCATTTCTGATCCTCTCTTTCCTAAGTCTGAGTTAGGTATTATTACTCAATATTCTATTAGCACCCAGTTCTCATCTCTAAAGACCTGAATGCACAGAATTGTATTTTTCTATTAAAAGAATGCCATGTTTTCCTCATGTGTATGAATCTAACTTTGGCTCAGAACAGCTGAATACATGTTGGTCTTATGAATGAATCATTTGGTCAGTGAGCAGATCAGGAGGGTGTGGCTATCCACATATCCCAGTGGTTCTTAACATAAGTGGCTGATAATGTCTAAATACATTTTTATTGTAAAAGTTGAGAGCAGGAAGAATATTTCCTACTGGCATTTAATGGGAAGAAGCCAGGTGTGCAGCTAAACACTCTGTAATGCACTGCAAAGCTCTCCAAGAGAAAATTATCTGGCCCAAATTTCACTAGTACCAACATTAAGAATCCCTGTTATATACCTATTGATGTAACTAAAACATTTCTTCTTTCACAATTCTTTGTAGAGTTCATCAGTAGCATGATGATATGTTCACTACAGGAAGATAGCATATTCAGAGACATTCTTTGTGAACCAAAATAATATTCCTATTTAAGGAAATAATGATAATAAAATAATTTTAGTCTTTAGTCTTACCTAAGAAATAAAGATATAATATTCTGACTACATAATACTCCTAAATTAATTTTCACATAGCCAACATTATTATTACAGGTGTTCTTATTTATACTCTAATAATTTGTCAACATCCATGATGGCATACATGAAAAACATTCTGCCACTGATCTTATTAATGTCACCATTTCTCCTGCTAGTTACATAAAAGATACAAAGATAAAATTAAATAATATTTTAATTTTAAAATGTTTAGACGCAGGACATATTAATTAGTTAATTAATTAATTAATTTTAGGGCCTTGTGTTCCATATAAACATATTTGCTCTTTATTTAATTTTTTTTACTTTGAAAGATGTGGAGTACAATTCAGGGTTAGGTATACAAATGGTCATTGTACAGATAAAGTTCGGGCCTCACTTTGGTTTGGTTTGAGATCAGGTACCATTATTGATGAAATGTGGCTCTCTCCCTCCCTGGCAGTTTCCCACTACTGCCAATCTGACATAGGACATATTTAAACGTGAGTTTTTAAAGTTAATTTTCCAATGTCATTACCAAATGTATTAAAAAGAGGGATAGGCAGTAATGGAGCACAGTCACTAAGTATCTTCTTTGTTATAATTACAGTAATTAAATTGTTCTGAACAGTATATATGCTTGTAAATTGCAATGAATACAAGAGTATTGATCTTTATTGTACAACTTAATTAAAACTTGTCTGTGAGAAGTCACTAATGAATATAATTAGAGGAAATGTTTGATACCACAGTTACACTGGAAGACATTAATTAGATATCAGAAATTTTACAGAAAATGTTTTTATCCTATTCTTTATATTTTGAAACAGAGCAACATGACTAAACTGAGAGACAGCCTTCAAGGTTGTTTTCCCTAAATCACTGTATAATTACAATGAAAATAGGCATATTGGGTAGTAGTCTAATCAGTAATTAAGAAGACTGATTCTCCAGGAGAAACAGCCCTAAAGGGGTCAGTGAGTATGTACTCTATTGCAAATTCCTGAACAACTCAGTAATACAGGAACTTTTTTAATAAGTAAAAGTCACTTTACTCTTTGCCCAACCAAATAACATATTATAATAAAAACTAATTCAAAATGGTCCTTAGTATGTCTTAATTTTATTACTACACATTAACAATTTCAATGCTTTCTATAACAGAAAAAAGATTTCAAGGTATTTACCATCAGAAAATGCAGAAGATTGCTAACTAATTATCTTGGTTGTGATTTAAGAGGAACTAAAATAGGACAAAAATGAGTAAAATGGCATATGCATAAGAGGTCATTAAATCTTCAACTTTACACATTCTAACAATTAGAGACTAGTTTGATTTAATAATACAAATATGGTGTTCAATGATTATCATTTTCAAGCAAACATAACTTGTTATATTACTTTGTCTCCACTGATTTTTTCGGTGACATCTTGCCAACAATAGTCACTAACTGCAGGAAAACTTATTAGCTACTCTTGGAAAAAGACACATTAGAATGAATATGTTTTCAGACTTGAAGAGTTAACAAACAGATAAAGAAC